AGCCTCCAGGACTAGAGGCAATAGACGCCTGTGGTTCAAGCCCCCTGCTCTGTGGGGCTTTGCTGGGGCAGCCCGAGGAAACTCACACCCCCGCCCTGACTGACCCACTGTGAGCCTGGCCGGCTGCAGGAGCTGGGGCTGTCCTCCGGGCCCCCTGTCGTGCAGCATGCTTTCTCCTGGGGCACTCGGGGGCTGCTCCCCCCTCCCAGGGCCCCTGGGCTCAGCTCCACCATCCAGCCCCCGATCTGGACTCACCTTCTCCCAGCATGGGCTCTGTGGGGCCCACACCGCCAGCACTGACTTCTGCTTCTCCCTGGGCCAGCTCCTCCCCGCCCACATGCACCTTCCTCCAGGAAGCCCTCCCTGACCAGCAGCTGGCATCCTTTCCCACCCTTCAGCCTCCCTTTCTCGTGGCGCACCCCACAGCCTCCCAGAGGACCAGGTTACTATTCCAAAGGTGTGTCAGTCAGGGTGAGTCACAGGGCCGGGCCTCGTCACTGGACTAGGTCATCCTAATCAGCCCGGACGCTGACAGCTACCTAATCCCACCCCAGGGGCACCGCTATCACTCCATTTTACAGAGGAAACCAAGGTACAGCAGACAGAGGTCCCACAGCCAGCGAGTCCTGCAGCCTGGACTGAGCCAGGAGCTGGTTTGGGGGCAGAGCTGGAAACTATGGCTCTGCTGCACCTCTGGGGTGTCTGCGATGGAGGCCACCCCCACCCCGGGGGTCCACACCCACCGTGGTCACAGAGCGCCTCTCACACTTGCCCTGCGCATGCGCTCACTTCCCCACCCCTTCCTGAGGGTCTCCCGTGAAGGGTGCAGTGATCACAGCAGTGAACCCGGAGACGCCAGGGGCAGCCGCTGCTCCTCTGGGCTCCTTGCTCTCCCCATACTCGGCTCGTGTCCACCAAGCACCCAGCACAGCCGCTCACACACAACTTCAGACAGGACTTCCTGCCGGGCAGGACCCCAGGCGATCTTCCTGCTGCCTCACCCGCGCCCAGACCCTGTGTAAGTCCTGAGGACCCCAGCTCCGAGTGACATTGGATGCACCCCTGCCTGGCTCTCCTGCGCCCTCTGACTGACAGCTCGCTGGGCCCCAGCGCCACGCCTACCTGTGCAGCTCCTGCTGGGCCTCCCGGATGCACAGGACGGCCTCGTGCAGCGCCTGCAGCCGCCTTGCCTCCTTCCCACACCGAGGACACCGGCTCTCTCTCCCTGGGATGGCCGGACGACAGTTGCAGCACCCAGGGGACAAAGGGACATGGGATGGATAAAAGGGGAGAACTGAGGAAGAACTAGGATGTCGGGGAGCCAGTGTGTGAGGTTCCAGGGTCACGGCTNGCTGGGGAGCTGGGCCTCTGGCACCTCCCTCCCATGTTGGAGCCCTAACCCCGAGTCCTCAGAATGTGACTGTGTTTGGAGGTGGGGTCTTTAAAAAGGTGATGGAGGTAAAATGACGTCATTAGCCTAATCCAGTCTGAGCAGTGTCCTTAGAAAAGAGGACACAGACAGCACCGAGGGACGACCCTGTGGGGACACGGGGAGAAGACGGCCGTCTACACACCAAGGACAGAGGCCTCAGGAACCAGCCCTGCGACACCGGGACCTCGGACTCCAGCCTCCAGGACTAGAGGCAATAGACGCCTGTGGTTCAAGCCCCCTGCTCTGTGGGGCTTTGCTGGGGCAGCTGGAGGAAACTCACTCCCCAGCCCTGACTGACCCACTGTGAGCCTGGCCGGCTGCAGGAGCTGGGGCTGTCCTCCCGGCCCCCTGCGTGCAGCATGCTTTCTCCTGGGGTGCTCAGGGGCTGCTCTCCACTCCCCCTCCCAGGGCCCCTGGGCTCAGCTCCACCATCCGGCCCCCCATCTGGACTCACCTTCTCCCAGCATGGGCTCTGTGGGGCCCACAAGCCAGCACTGACTTCTGCTTCTCCCTGGGCCAGCTCCTCCCTGCCCACATGCACCTTCCTCCAGGAAGCCCTCCCTGACCAGCAGCTGGCATCCTTTGCCACCCTTCAGCCTCCCTTTCTCGTGGCGCTCCCCACAGCCTCCCAGAGGACCAGGTTACTATTCCAAAGGTGTGTCAGTCAGGGTGAGTCACAGGGTCGGGCCCTGTCACTGGCCTAGGTCGTCCTAACCAGCCCGGATGCTGACAGCTACCTAATCCCACCCCAGGGGCACCGCTATCACCCCATTTTACAGAGGGGGAAACTGAGGCACAGCAGCCAGAGGTCCCACAGCCAGCGAGTCCTGCAGCCTGGACTGAGCCAGGAGCTGATTTTGGAGCACAGCTGGAAACTATGGCTCTGTTGCACCTCTGGGGTGTCTGCGATGGAGGCCACCCCCACCCCGAGGGCCCACACCCACCATGGT